GTGGTCACTTTAAGTTATTCTGGGTGGCCACGATTGCGCAATAATTTATGTGTGCGTGACCGACGTGACCGATGTGACAGAAAGGCCCCTTTTCTTGAACATCGAGGACCTTCGCTTCGCTTCGGTCGACTACGGGAACAAATGCGCAGATGCGCATATCTGGATGTAGTGCGTATAACTCACTTCAGAACTAAGTAGCGCAACTTTCGTCTGAATATTAATGTGGTTGCACTAGCAAATCTGCACAGCAAATCTGCATTTCTGCACATTGGAGGAGAAGGCGGTACGCATGTGTACGGATTGGCGTTTGTGTTATCCTTCAGTGCGTACTTTTTATTTGTTTTTTAACTTTTAATTTTGAAACAAAATGATTAGAAACTGCTTAATTACACAGAAGAGGGGAGTATTGGTGATTTTTAAGCACAAGTTCCGATCTAGGTGAGCACATGGCCTTTTATGTGAGCACATTTTGTGCTATGTGAGCACAAGTTTTCAGGCCCTGCAGAAGGCAGCGCATTCAGCCAAATACCGGCTTCGGGTCGGGATTGCGCAAGAAAACGGGCTGTATTAACTGCGTCGCCGCGAAACAGGTCCAATAAAACAGAAACCGACACGTTACAGAGCGGTAAGTCCCATGTTTTTTGGAGCTTTCGGAAGCCAACTTTTGGAACTTCTGCTTGCCGGGCTTTGGTTTTCCATAACTCCACCACTTCCGAGGCGTACACTGCCGGAAAGGTAGGAAGCATTGACAATAACAAATCAGATGCAGAGTGAATCGAAGCCAAGTAGGCTGGGAGTGCTAATTCCTCCGCACGACGTATGCCAATACCTCCTCGGCTGACCGGGAGAGTCGCTTGTCGCCAGCACGGGTAGTCGTCATGGTTTACGCGAACGTTACTGAGTTCTTGAAAACAGGAGCGCAATGACTCGTCGATTTGATACAGCAGTTTTGGATGTCTCCAAGCGTTGCAACATCTGAGCATATAGATTATCTTCGGGGCGCCTAAACAGTGTCTAAGCAGATATAGCGCATGGTGGCGAGGAAGGAGTTGTAAACGTTCGCAAGCTCTCTTTATGGCGCTTGATTTCTCGACAAGAGTTTCACCAATCGCATCGTCCAGAACCGGGGCACCTAGCAGAGTTAAAGTTGAGCTTGACATAACACGGAGTTGTGGGTAGTGCGAAACAAAATCATCAACAACTTCCAGCCGTTCGGTCTCGAAACCTCCTGATACAAAAAGCTCACATTTGGATTCATTTATGTCCAAACCAATGGCACGTGCGCCTTCAATGACCCGTTTGAAGTTTTCTGCCACTATCGCCGGCGCACCGCCCAGGATTCCGTCGTCAAGGTACCAGGCGTTAAGCTCGGTGTTCAACGTGGCAATTACGCGGAGCAAAACCCGGCAGAACAGCAGCGGACCCAGCTGGTCGCCTTGTTGTACCCCAGACTCTGACGACAGCACCGTTTGATCAATGAACAGGGAGGAATGATGCCCATTGCCCATACGCCGACCAAAAGAATTCATCATATTCGGGAAAATGAGTATGCACAGCTTCCAGAACCGCTTCTCGAGAAACAGTATAGAAGGCGTTTCGAAAGTCGATCTTCACCAGCGCTTTAATGCCCTCCGGTGAAGACTGGACAAAATGTCGGGTTGCGTGGACGATGGCTTCGGCTCCGCCCCGGACGTTGAAGCCCGACTGCTGAGGAGTAAGCAAGGTGGTTGCCCGGTCCGCTATTCTGTTGCAGATTATTTTGGCGAGTAGACGACGCAACGACAGTCCTACCGCTATGGGGCGCAGTCCGCCGTCTTTCTGTCGCAGTGCCAGTAATCTACCTCCAAAGAAAATCGGTCGTATATCTGCGGGTATTTTACCTTGTAAAACCAGCGTCAACACCGAGGCAATGGCTTCGCAAAAGGGAACGCTGTCGTCGTCCAGCTTTGATCCCACCAAGTCCAGCAGATGTTGAGGCCTTAAGCCATCTGGACCTGCTGCAGAGCCCCGCGGGAATGTGTGGATAGCAGAAAAAACTTCTGCAGCGGTTATTGCAGGCGCGGCGGGAGTACTCGCAGCGTGGCGAGCCGTAGACGGTGGGGCGTACGTGGGGTGTTTCTCTCGTAAGCTCTGGAGGACTTCAGGTGTGCAGTCCACCACCGAATCTGTGGACAACAAAACTTGCATTGCTCCAGAGATGGATCCATCGTCGATTTTTTGGCCGACTTGACGAACCAGATCCTCTTCGCTGCTACGTTTCTTGCAACTAGGTGGTGGGGGGTTGGGAGGTAGAACTGCACCTTGGTCATAAAGCGCAAGGTTTTTCTTCACAGCAGTTGCAAGTGACGCTGCTCGCTCAGATTTCACCTTAGCTGGGAGACGTAGGGCATTAGGACAGAAAAGGAGTAGCTTCATCCACGAGTGGCTGTCATTCTTGGAGGCGACCTGTTGGAGCACTTTCCGAAACACGGATCTCACCGCAGGTCTTGCACCATGGAGAATGCGACGCAGTATTCGCTCTTTGTGCGGGTGAAAAGATGAGGCCGCAGGTGGGGTAGGTGCAGCTCCTTCCGAATTGGCTGACGAGTGAGCGGCGATGGCGGCGGTGGCGGCCGGGATCAGCTTCAGCTCCTGCGACAGAGTTTTGGGACAAACAGGTCTATGAGATCCCCAGGCCGGCAACAGTTTACCGCAGCCAGAACACGAAAACTGAGGCATGGTGAGGGAAACGTTATGCGGTAAGTGGCATAATTAAGGGGACCAATTGTGGGGAACTTACTAATAGTCCGCTGGTGTGTCGCTGGATGTCTACGGGACAGCTGCCACCACACAGCCTCTGGAGAACAACAATCTACCAGACTCAGGTCCCGTAGCCACCCTCCATACTGAATGACGGGAAATTTGTCATTCAGGGGCAAAAAACGTGAGCCCAATCACAAAAATAAAGGTTATCCGATGTAAATTCACTGAGTTATACCGATTATTCTTCTAATTTGCGTTTGGCCACGCCCATCTGAATTACAGTTGTTGTCCTATATATTATTATCAAAATGCGCTTCCGCTACAATGGGCATTGACTGCGTTATGGTTACGGTGTTATCTGTTTTCAAAGAGGCTTTCTGCTGCTTACCAAATGCTGTGTTGTTTTACTCGTAATTTACTTAAAAATCACTACAATTCACAAGGACGGAAAAAAATTTGCTAGCGGCAGCAGTTGGATAACGAAGACACAGAAATGCCGGAAACTGGAAACCCGGTTCGAGAGTACAGCGATCGAACATGTTCTAAAGATATTGCAAATCATTTCGCGACACAGCGCCATAATTTACTCAAAAGAATGTTTTTGAGTGCGCCAAATTGAAAATTTTCGTGCATGTACCCGAGTTTGGAACGATGTACTGGGTCACTTCCCGCAATTCCAGTGCTCTACAAACTACTGAGTATGTACTTGTACTGCTTCAACTGTATATATCGGTCTACAACTCCACATTTTTATGTACACCTTCGAATGAAACAATGATAATATTATGCAGAAGTACTGTACAAAGTTTGAGAATTGTGTCTTACAAGTACTGTAAATCTGTTTTGTAAAATTAATGGAATCGTACAGTTATGTCGGTACGTTCACATTATAGAGAAATTCACATTACTGTGTAAAGTATGTCTGAAATTTTTTATTTATTTTGTTGTAACTCTGTTTCTGGCTTTTCAGGATGCATGTAATAATTAACAGCACGATTCCGTAATGCAATGTATTTGGGAGTGGCGAAAACAAGCCAGGAGCAACAGCACAGTTGGTACTGAAATATTCATACATGAGCCTACGCATAAATTTTTTTTTGCCCTTAACAGCTTTTTTGTGCTTAATTTAATTAATTAGTAATTGTGGTCATTATTGAAAGTTTGTCGCATACTTTACATACATTAATCATGATTAATGTAAAGGTATAAATTTGGTTAACGTTTGAGATTGCGTCGGTACTCTAATATTTTGTATTTATTGCGTACACGTTTTGCTTAATTAATGTTTAATGGTTCAGATTATTTACTGTTAATTCTCAGCTGTTTTAATTTAGGAAATCACTATAGCCACCCCTTCTCGCACCTTGTTTTTTATAGCCACCCTTTTCTGCTATTAATTAAATAAAAACATTCCATTGTGGTTTTTCTATAGACACCCATTTAATTTTTCATTTTTAAGCTGTTTAATTTAGGACAACGCGTGATCTTCGTGATATTTCTAAGAATTTTGATTCTACACCACTTCACATGTTCGCGCTGTCCTTGTGTGGCCAAGCTCTGCAGAGAATGCGAGCAGTCTTAACGGACCGAGCAGCAACAGTGCTTCCGGTATCTGGCTTACTATGTACAGTAGTTCCTCTGTTGTCTTCAGCTGCCTGTGTGTTATTAAAGGTTTCTCCGCACATACCAGATGTAATTCGTTGTGAGCTCTTTGGTTCACCAGTGCAACGATATTCTACGCATGTAGAATAACAAGCTATATGTACTTTGCAAATGTAAGCAAAACAGCGAAAAGTACTGTACTGTAAATCCACGTCAAGAAAAAAGGATTTAGAATCCGCGTTGCTAATCTGAATTTGCATATTAATTAGCACAATATCTATATATATTTTATGTACCGGCGGCTACCCGAGACAAGACAGGCTTTAGTTGTTTTTTTCGTCTTGAAATTTTAACTATCAAGTAGTGCAACATTTGTTAACTGGGTGGCTACTGCCAATAAATTATTTATACCGACATTATTGTGGTACAGAAAGACCGAGAAAAAGCAATACATTTTTACGAGTACAAACTCGCAAAACACTGACGCGCTACACGATAAACGCAAGTAAAAAGATAAACAGTGATGAATCACTGTATCGACGCAGCAAATGGCAGCGAAAAGGCGTGCGCGAAAAAAAAAACAGGAGCGACTAGCATCGCGGCAAATCAGCTGTCAGTGACGCCGTTGCTGAGAACCGCTGCCGGGCCGCTACGGATTACGCGTGGTGGAAGCGCGGATCGGCGTCGTCCAGGAGCGTGACGTGCAGCAGCGGATTTGACGGATCTCCGTGCATCTTGTGGCATTCGTCGCGGGCCGTCACGGCCTCCTCCTGGCGAGCGAAACGGACAAATCCCCAGTTGGTCCGGCTGCAGGGCCGCACGCCGCCGTCTACGAGAAATCACCGCTAATGGTCACCCGCAACGTTGAACATAATGTAGAATAAACGTACTGCAGGGACAGTCGCGTGGCGCGATCGTGCTGGCGGTGATGGTGCCGCCCCATTGGTTGAAGTGGCGCTGCAGATCCGCCAGGCGCCACGCACACGGGATCCCGGTGGCGAAGAGGTTGCTGTGGCGGTGCGGCTGGGCGGGCGGGCGACAATGCGCCACCTGAATAATGACATATTATAAATAGGTTTAATGGTTGAACGTCCACACACATTGGGCGAGAGACTAATTCGAGGCAGCAGACACAACAACAACCGTTCTCCAGAATACACAGTATTTCAGATCAAGCTTTAAATAAGAATAAATAAGAATACAGCAGCGTATTTAAAACAAAAATGATTGCACAAAAATGCAACCATCGCTTTAATAAGCAGTAGCCATCAACATAACAAAAAGTGCAAGCGCGGGCACACTACTTCACAACTGAAATTTAGACGGTAAAAAAACAACTGAAACCTCTATTTAGATTTATTTCGCGCTTACAGTTTGTGTATGCTTTACATTTACAGATACATTGATTTACAGTTACACTTTAAATAGTTACAATCGTAATTTGTATTTTAATTAAAACATTTTTAACAGAAATAATTTAAGTCAGCTAAAACTGCGAAACGCTGAAGCTTACCTTTAAGCGCTTGGTTTTGCGCTTGGGACGGCCGTCGGCGTCCACCTCCCACGGAGCAGCCGTCTCAATGAGACAGAATCCGTCCAGCAGCTCCATCGCACGGGCGGCCGCCTCCGCGTGGCTGTACGTCACGAAGGCGAAGCCGCGGCTGGTTTCGCGACCTGCTCAACCAATGACAGTTACCCAGGGCAAAATTCAGCGCACAATGGGACCGTTACCTGTCGCGTCGGTTCGCATGGCCACACGGCACTCCTCCAGCGTGGCGTCCGGGCCGAGGATCCGCCGCGTGCCGAAGATGCTGCGCAGGAAAGGCGCACGCACGGCGATGGGGAGGTGGGTGACGATCAGGTTGCGTCCGCCCACCTGCTGATCCGCGTTCGCCATCTCCACGGGAAGATCCGCCACTCCCGCTGCACCGTCGGCCGTGCTGCGTTGCATCCTCACGATAAACAATTAGAAGAAACCGATCCTCTAACAAAAAGCACAACGCTGCACAAAACACCAACACAATTTCTGATGTGGCACGGACGCGTTCGCAATCAACACTGCTGAATCCAAAACACGTGAAAGTGAAAGTGAGCATTGCTGCAGAACAGACGACTGCAGCCTTGCTAAAGCCGATAAAGCCGCTGTATCAGGAATTCCGATCTACGAGTGTCACTGGAAGTCAACGAAAACAAAGAACGGCCGATTGCACAACAGGATGTACGACCACGCCGTATCCTGCTTCGCGCGGGCGTAGCACAGCCGGCAACTCAATTTCTCCGTATTATTCGTAGTCAGAATACAAGCTCATTCTTTCAAATTTTTTCTAATAATTTGCTTCGCCCGCTCGAAATGCTGCATCAGTATTCTACTTAATTACAATCAATGGAGGAATCAATCGACGAGCAGCAAGCAGTCTTCGCAGTCCGCGGTATTATCCATTCGTCATCGGTAGTTATGACAGGAAAGCGCACTCGCTATCTAGATAATTATCTAGGAAAGTGCACTCGCTTTGCGGGCACTGTATGACCGAAGCGTAGCAGGACCATAGCATAGGAAAGAGCGACTGCTATCCCTTTCTTACCCAGATTTACTTTATCCATTCCTCTTCGGTTATATAATGCTAACATTCCGGCTGGTAGAAATTTTAAAATAACTGCAACAGTCTGCAAGTGGAACCTCGGCCTCTGACTCCGGCCAGCATCTGTGCAACTTTGTGAATGCGTTTGGAAATGGTAAACAAACTTAGTTATAATTTATTTCGCTTCTGTGGATATACTTAATGTTGGCTTCAGGCGTTGCATTGCTGTGCGCGGTCACCGTCACAAAAGACACCTACCTGTACATGTATGCGGTAGTGCTGGATGCTGAATCCGGTTTGAATTGTCGGATTGACACAAACGCCAGTGGCAAATTGCAATACTTTTGTATCTTTTACTGTATCGTTTACTCTTTTACTGGGTACAGAGTACAGGGGCACTGAAGTTCTACCAGGTCGGCGAGAATGCAAACCGAGGTCGGAGGCCGGGATTGCCTTATAAAAGAAAGACAGACAGAGAAATGTCACGCAACCAAAAAGGCAGGCATCGCTGAGAGGTTAAAAAAAGCAGGAAAGGGCTTAAGAACAGTGTCAGGAAACTCGAATGCATGAAAATGGCAGGCTAGACTTTGCAATTTATCGGGCAGCAAAAGCCGTAAGTTGATGCGCGCCAAGAAATTTAAGGACCTCGAAAAAAATAAATCCAGAGCCAGAAATCTTCGAAATGTAAGTGCTTTTTTGCTCCAGTGCACCATAGCGGATTGCCTCAAGCTCAAATGGCGATAGATCGGTTGTATAGAGGCGACTTACTTCCTTCTAAACTTTTTAATGGCAGAATCTCAGTTTTAATCTCATTTCTCAAAGATTTCGGCGGTTGCCCCGTTTTATCGCTTGCCAGAACGCGAAGTGGCAACTGCCACTGCCGGTGGCAATTGCCAGTGCCACCTTTTATCCCCTGCCATTCGATTTCCTTCAGCCACTGTATCATATTAATCACTTTGACGATAGTTGAGTAGCAGAGTACCGGAGGCTCTGAGCCGAACAAACGAAGCGGTACGCGGCAGCCTCCATTAGGAGTCAACTGCTAACAGGGTCAACGCAGGAGACTGCCGATTTGACAGTACATATTCGCCCACCCTATTCACCGGTGACAGTCATTTTACCGTCGGTCAAAACTAGCCGCCTTGCAGATATCGATCGATAAAGTTTTACGATTGCTGACTCGTATCTACATCTATATACTACCGCTATCGTAGTTTACTGCCGTAGTTATTACCTATCAACGTCCTAACGATCGTTCTATGTATGTATCGTCGAAAATTTTCCATGGGTTGTTTTACCGCTGTACGGAGTATTTGGGCCGCAAAAACCAAGTTTTAAACTACCATTATAATACGCTGGACTGCCGTATCACGATGGTCATTACCATCGGTTTTCGCATTGACTTTTGGCGTTGGGTTGGCCTGGAAACGAACATTTGAATTTGCCTCGCTGTTACGTATTTCGGATAGAGAAAATTGTTACTTCATTTAACGTAAAGAACAGCCATATTTAGTGACTGTGTTTGGCCAAGAAGCCGACAATCGGATCCCCGGGTACTTTCTTGCCATTAAATCCTTGTGCTAGCATTTTTCAACCTACCAGCGTTTTAAGTAGCGATCTCGTTAAAACCTGTTTCTGCAAGGGTTGTCTTGGCTACATTTACCATATTAACCGCAGTTTTTTGTTACGGCATCTCATGCCAAACCAATTAAATTTCTATCAGAGCGGAAACGAAAAACTGCCACCTCGTTGCTGCGGTGATGAGCAACGGCCACCAGATGGATGCAGAGCAGTCCGTAAAGCATCTCAGTAATCATTACTTCTCATGTTCCCAGTGATGGTCTTCCATAGAGCGGAAAATCAGTGTGAAGATAACCAATGCAACGGTGTTTAGTAAACACGGGGCTATTGGACTCGCGGTATTAAACACTATTTACTGCCGTGAGTCCAACAGCCCCGCATTTTCTAGTCCTATAGTCCAATAGCCCCATATAGCAAAAAGAGATTTGCAGATACTCGACATAGTCACTCGACGTTCCAGTATTCTTTGGAATGGGATCGTTGCACTGGGACTGGTTGTGCTTTTGGGTCGGGTTAAGTGGCAACTGGTTTTCCGTCTGTGTATATATTCGGATGTCCACACACAGAATCACTAAAAACACAACGACATAAAAACCCACAAAGAAATTCCTTCTTTTGAAAGCGCTTAAAGTTGTTTAACAATTTCTTTTTAAAGCGGAATTTTGAGTTGGAATATGGCGGCGGAAACGGTGCGGCTAATTCGTCATCAAGGGTACAAGTATTCTAACTACGTTACCGGCAGAAACGGGAAGGTGACCAAATGTTGCAAATGGAAGCACAAGTTGTACCTCAAATAAGGAAAATACTCCATGAAAATAGCGGTTGTTGCTTGCGGTGTCCATTTGTTGTCAATCTGGATTACTTGCAGACATTCATCACCTCCTTCTTCGAGGATTCGTCATCCACGTCACCCACTCCGACAATGGCAGTCACAACTGCGACAAAAAAAATAAAGCTGAAGAGGCTTGGTGTTTACCAGAACGGCAAAAATTATGAATGAACTGGAGTAATTGTAAGAGTTCAAAAAATAATTACTAAAGTATTTGCATGCGAATTGCGCATTGATTTTGCGTAATATTGCTACATGTTTAATTTGTAGCTAGATGCCAAAAGTTCCTTTAGAAGTAGCCATATGGCTGAGAGCGCGCTTTTAACCGGCAGCTAGGCAGGTGAATGCGAGTTCATTGAACAACCATCATCCATCCTCCCACCTTCCTGCCGGGTACACTCTCTAGTGTTACGCAACCCGATGGTACTGACGCTTACCCTGATCGACTGTTGTAACGTAATTACTGAATTACGGCATACGCCCTGGGCCATAAATAATTAGAACACCTCATGGAGGGCTCATATTACGGAGGGTGCTTCTACGTAATTTCCCTCTGCGTTTCTAGGCATGGTCTAATGAATCTGTAACAGGTATCTGCAAAAATCGATCGTAGCTGATCGCTTTCACCGGCAAAAGTGCAACCACCGAGGCACCGATCCACCCACCTTTCTGCCGGTAACAATCTCTTTCCATCTCTCTCTCTCTATCTGAAATTCAGCAATTGTAGCGCGGCTGTTAATACTTAATATAATATTATTGTTTTATATATTATTTGTTAATACCGTATGTACGCACTCACTACGCAGTACGAACACAAGTATTAAAGATTTATTTTTCCGCGATTTTAGGGAGCTTTTTGAAATTTCTCTAGTAAGCTCTATGGGTAATTGGGTGCAGCTTTTGCACATATTTGAGTAACTTTGTAAAGGAATGTTTTCAAAACTTTCTTTCGAAGCATTTGTTTGTTTTTCTAAATCAAATTTAGATCGTTTAAATTCTTCGACCACAATAGGCCTATTATAAAAGGTAACGCCGGTAATAATGCAGAGGCTTAACATGCAAAGTTCAGGGAGTAAACCGTGCGTAAAATTTGAGAGCTTTCGACTTCATTACCAGAAGGATGCAGTTGTTTTTGGTCGCACCAAGAAATTTTTTAAGGTGACTAAACCACCGAGTAAACTGTAAATTATTCGCTGAAACCAGTACAAACCAGTCCCCCAAAATGTAAAATCACAGACTAAAAATAAAAAAAGAACAAAAAACAAATGCGCGGAGGACCCAAGAGAAAACGACCAATCAAACACTAGGAAATGGGATTCGCCAGCCGAGTCCGGTGACCCCCTTAAGGGTTGTTAGTACTTAAAGGTTGTTAGTTTTGGAAATTATCTCCTAAATCAACATTGACTTTTTTAATAAGTTGTTAATTTTATAAAATAGAGCTTCGGATAAATGTTCCTACCTTTATCTTTAAAAGAATCTTAAGTTTTGGAGAAGGTCTAAAAAAATCTTAGATGTTGTAGTACTTAAAGGTTGTCAGCACTTAAAGGCAGTAGTACGTAAGCTGTAGTATTTAAATGTTGTTAGCTTCTAGAAAGTTATTATATTATTATGGTTGTTGGATTATATATTTCGAAACCTAGCAACCCATGTTTTTAAATGTAGGAGAATTGCTGCTGCACATTTAAAGCAGTTTCACATTCAATATATAACTGGCTGGCGTTTATAAAATAACGATTTAACTTCACTTGCTTGACTGTATGCAGTATAACTAAATTTCTTAATTATTAGCACTTCGAGTACTGTACTATTTATTGGGCTGCTTTGTGTTTGTTTAACTTTGTTTTTCTACCGTTTTAGCTTGTAGTCTTTAGCGTTTAGCTTTTTTAGCTTTCAGTTTTTAGCTCTTACCGATACTTTTTCTAGCTTTTAGCTTTTTTAGCTTTTGTTTCAAGTTTTTTTTAGTCAGCTCCAAAGCTTTTACATTTCCGGAATTTCTAAATATTTCTAAATATTTCGACTCGGCCCCGCGCAGCGGGGCCGTTACCTCTAATTTTTGAACCTCC